GGCATCCGACCAGTAAACACTCAGCTCCATTCAGTTGCCCCGATTCTACTCTGAACTAAGGGATTACAGTGTCGTAAAATTTGTATTTTATACTAATATTCCAACTTTATATTATCCAGTTTGCTAATTTTAATTTCTTCTCATTGTATATGTGCAACCTGATGAAGCCATTTAGGGTATTCTGATTTAATATTGTCCTTTAAATAATTTTTGGGTCTGTATTTATTTTTCTTAACTATTCAACATTTTGAATATTTTAATATCCATTTTCTTGTGCTGGTTAATGACCATAATAAATATGAAATATAAATAAGTACATTCAAAGAAATTCAAAGACCTATTTTTTTTTCCAGATTCAGAAGCTGCTGAATTGTTCAAGAGGAGACCTGTGCTCTACATTATAATTGAAAGAGATGTTACTAATCCAAATGTCTTGTAACCAGTTGACAAATTTGAAAGATGCAATGATAAGTATTGCTTACCTTAATTGCTTTTTGTGCATTAGGAAGACCTTCCTCAATATCTTCCAAAAGTATTCCTCCTAATCCTCGTTGATCATGCTTATCCAAAAGCCTCAACAGGGCCTTTTTATCTTTTAAGTTATACTTAGGCTTGAAAGCATATTTCCCATCAATAACTTCTATTTTAGGATTGCTGACAAGGGCCTATAATGAAAACAAAACAAAAAAGAATTCAGCTAATAGGAAATAGCATACCATTTTCTATACATGGACTTTGTAAAATTAATAATGATTGAATTGTGTGTGCTACTGTTTATCACAGTATGAACAGAAGACTGAATAATTTTGAGAAATTAACAACAAAAAAGAATCTGCCTGAGGCATGTCTATATGAATCACCTCTGATCAGTCTCCTTAGAATAGCATATTTTGCTGTATCTGTAAGTAGTACTGATATACTTTAAACAGGGCTATTTTCATATTTTACTTTATTAAATGTATTAATTTAACTTAAATATTTTTTAAATGTGTGTGAAAATAAAATACCTAATTTTAATTGTAAAAAGCACAAAATATTTTACATATGGAAAACATCATAATCATACAAAAATATCTGAGAATACAAAGTGTGCATGTTCCTATACATATATTTATGTGTGTGTGTGGATAGATGGATAGATAGATAGATATAGCCGACAAATAGACACATGCATGCAAATATAATGTACTATTTGTTTATACAATTTCAACATTAAAAATAATTCATATATAATACCATACAAATGAAAGTTTATGAAGTTTCTATTCCTTGACAAATCTTGTAAAGTATTTTCTTCATGTAATTCGTTGACACTATATACAGTACGCTTAGAAAACAAACTTTTAGGGCCAAGTAACCTTAAAGTTAACAACATATATAAATTGTATAACCAGAAAGCAATACACTTATATTTGATACAGCCTTCATTGCTAGTTTTGGGCATGAAACTTGGTAACAGTTGATCATCATATTTATTTAAACTAGTACCCTGAATTTTGTTACCTCACTCATTAACCACTGTTTCTGCTTCAGTCCAATGTCTAAGTGCTGTGTTTCATCTAATATTTCTTCTAGAGTTAATGGATGGGTATCACCACGTTGATGTCGTGTCTAGACAAAAAAACCAATTGATTTTATTATCTTTCAAAACTGTAACATTAGTTACATTAGAAGCTGACAAAATATGTGCAAAAATAATCTTGCTTAAATAGCTGAAGGACCTTAACTGCTTTAATTTCAATAGTTTATTTTACTAATTCTGCCTATGCTGCATTTTCACAGTATTAACCCAGATATTGAAAATGATGTGAATCACCTAAATAAATTACAACAGTATTAGAGCAATGTTATATTACTAGACAGCAGACCACAAATTAGAACAATTCAAAAGGACTTTATCACAAGTAGCTTTTATCCCAACCAACTTGCACCAGGATGTTTTCACTCTGGGTAAAGTAAGAGAGGCTTCTTGGCACAAATGAGTTTGAACAATACTACTGAACCACATTTTTAGGAAGTTTATTCAATTTGTATGTCAACATGCCATACAATTCCAGACTTGGCGTTCTTTCTACGGTTTGCAGGACTGCATATAACATTGCCCTATTCATCTTCAGCACATGCCCACATTACCATGGGAAGATTAACCCTGGGCAAACATGTTCCTCGCAGCAATCCCATTCAGTCTTTTGTGAGTTTGAAGCTCATGAATAAAGGGGGATTATCCAAATAATTATTAACAAAAAATCCAATCCAAAAACTATGCATAGTTCTGCATTACTTTTATTTACTATAAATAAAGAGACCACAGGGGAACTATATTCTAAATGCTGCGTTTACATAAAAATGCACAATTTTTAGTTAATTATAAATATTAAATGTACTCCATTCTAAGATAAAAAATGTCAAATCCCAATCTCAGTGTTCATTGACTCACTGTTCATAGTTCATCTGAGAGAACAAATATATTGTCCCAATTAGCAAACACAGGTATGAAATTCTTTTTGTACCTATTTTTTGTGTCATCGCACAATATTTAAATATTGTTGCTGAAATATGGTAATCATAAAAGGTGCACATAGTAAACTTGGTAGCAAAATTATACCTTCATATAGTTCACTATCTTTGCAAGCACTCCAAACTTGTAGCCAGAGCCTCCAGAAAGAGCTTTCAAATTAAAAGTTCCATTGTGGTCTGTAAAGGGGAAAAAAAATGGTACAGATTGTCATTCTGTAGGTCAGGCATAGTGAAATATATACTTGTGTAACCAAACCTATGAAAATATTGACCCATATACTTTATTGGGCTGTTAATAAAATTGGGAAATTTTATTATAAATTTATTAGAATTTTATTGAATCCTAAAAAAATTGGAGAAATCAGGATTTCTTAAAACACAATTCATTTTCAAATTCATTTTAAAGCACAAGACATTTTCAAGTCAACAAATTAAACATGCTACTCTAATATATATATATATATATATATAAATTTACAAATGTTTTCTTATTGTTCACTATATTGCTATACATCTCTTGGTCCAGATTTAAACTATTTATTCAAAAAATGAATTAATGCACTTTAATCAAAATTAACATCCTAAAAAATACAATTAAAAATAATCACAATTGACCTGGCTTATACACAGCTGAAAATCTCTATAATAATAATTGAGGGTTTTTTTAACTTTCTTAAAATAGAATTACAAAATAACTGTGTTATTTTGTGTTATAACTGTGTGTTTTTCAATTTATACTGAATTACAAGAATGTATATTTTCCTGCTTATAGGAAATTACTATCAGGACAACTCAGAATTTAAATCAATTGGTTAATCATAAAAAATACGGGAAGCAATTTATGGAAGCTACATTGGAAAAAAAATCAGTGTCCAGGAAAACATCTATGTTTGGTGCCCCCCAAAGAAATCCACTCTGTCTCTTTCCCTCTGTCTTCCTCCCTCTCTCCCTCCAAGCTCACATATTGCAATTTAAGAAAATGAGGGGATATAGAAGAAACTTACAAAATTGAAAAGAGGTTTCTGGAAAATATGTACAATGTACGCTATCATGGTTCCAGGTTACTTAAGATGGAATTAGCTCAAACTATTCCGGTCTCTTAGCCTGAAAAAGAACTGGAAACATAGCAGAGCTATATTTATTTCCCATCATGGTGAGATGATCGAGAAGGATGTTGTGTTTTGAAGTAATGAAAACTTCCCTGAAGAAAACTGCCTCAATGTTTTTTTTTGTTAAAACAGTTGCAATCAAATGAAAACACAAAGGATTCTAAGTAATCAATATTGTTCGAGAAAAGCACAGTGCGTAGACAATAGAAAGAACATTTAAAAAGCTTTGGGTAGATTAGGATTTTAAATATTATATTAAAAAAACCATTTCTGGAAAAGATGATGGTCAACAGGAAGAAAATGGCAATGATCATAACTTTGTATTTGTTTACTTTATATTGGCTTTATTTTAGTTCCAGTTGAAATGATGTATTGAATCAAAATAAATTGCAGTACCTAATTGACTAGCTGGAACTTGAAAAAATTAAACAGGGTTTATTAGCCGAGTTGGTGCTGGGATAGAAGATCATGAGGAAATTCCAGATTTGTAAACTAAACAACAAAACTGGGGGAAAAAAATCTTAGAAGGTGGTAATGGCATAAAACTCCCATACCACTGACAAGAATTTGTCAATGTATAACATGTCTCGTAATATTCTCTTAAATTCATTTTATAAGGTAATTTTGAGATTTCTTTCATAGTTTTAATAAATAAGAAATCCAATTTATTTGCTTGGTCAAGAAAATCCACTGAAAATAATTTTGAATACCAGGAAATATCAGAATATATTCTTTTCTCAAGTGTGTTTTATTTTATTTACTGTATTTTATTATATGACCTTTGCATATATTTTTTGTGCTTGTTATTTTTTTGTTTTGCTGAGCTACTAAAAAGCAGTTTACAAATTTAAAATATATAAATCTAAACAAAATGTTTAAACATACTGTGTTTTGTAGAAATATCATCTGATTAAATGACAAACTAGAATTATAGAAATAGGCCTGAAGACAATGGAAAATGAAATCTTATTAAGCCAATTCAGAAATCACTACTTTAATTTCACAGATTTCAATAGTTTATATCATAAAGTGAAAGACAAAGAATAATGGTAAGTCATAAGGTATCTTTATATTTAAAATATATGAATGTTTGTGCTCCAACATGCATATATGTAATTCTCCTCTATTAAGATCTTGATTGTACATGTGTGTTTCACACCAGCTTAATCTGCTATTAGGAAAAAAATCCTGAATAAATTAAAACAATAAATATCAAAGCAAACTAAAGCAAAAAAGAGCACATTGTTTTAAATATATTTCATTGTTAAATAAGCTTTTAAAGAGGTTAAGAAAGTAGGTAGAATATAATCTGATATTTTATATATTTCAGATTTATGAATGATTTCCTCGTTGGGTAAGGGTCTAATGCAAATAAGCATAAAGGAAGCTGTCAGCTGCATTCTGCTTCAGCCAATAGTAGCAAAGCTCCATCTTAGCTGTACCAGAAGCTGTATTAAACAGCAGATCAGCACTGTTCCAGCATCTTTTCAGAAAAGAGGTACGTCTATATCTTTTTTAAAAAAATAATGCCTTATAAATAGTCTTATTTGCAAAAAATGATTACATTTCAGAAAATCAGAATATGTAAGACCCCTTATTGATGCATTTTTAAATTATAGTTGTTTTTGATTCTGAAGCTTATGAGCATGGTGGTTAAATGCAGAGGTGCTTGTCTTGTGATAATAGAGAATCTTGCCATCTGTGCATTCATGAAGAATTGATGACCATCCATTTTAAAAAGAGACTAACATACCCAGTAATTTGTAAACTAGATCTGAGGTTCTATGTGTCCTAATAATTAATTTCATTTTGGGAGGTAAAATTTAATAAACAGGACAGTGTATTTTTAAATGGTAGCAAGATTTTAATTTTTTTCCAAATTTATACAATCATTAAATTGCAAAACCTGTCTTATTAACCAAGCCAGTAAACTGATCTCTTTATCTAGCCTTGCCATCTGGCCATTGTATAAAATGAATCAGTAAGTTGCTGACATGGACACTGCTTCAAAGAAATCAATTTGGTTTGTAGCCGTTTAATAAATAAACTTCCCTAAACTCAATTCCATCTGAATTAGCCACTGGTATTTACATATGTAAGTTATTATATGTACAAGTAATTTGTTTTACATCAGCTGATAATAGTGCAATGTTATTCAGACATAAAACAGAAGATTAGTGAGGCTTGCCCCCTTCCCACATATATACAAATGATTTAAGATCGCAACCAAATTTACAGAAGTTTCTGGATTTTATTCAAAGCTTTCTTCTAAGAATTCTAATAAGGATTATTTAAAGCAATTCAGTGAACTTCAAAAATAGCCTTTTATTCTTTGTATAACCAAGTAAAATTTCATTCTTATAATAATAACCAGTCAGTAAATAGTACCTATTTTATTTCAAACCATATGTCTAGCTAGTACTCAGCTGCATAGATTATACTGAAATTTCTAACTCTGACAGAACATGGTTTGTTTCAAAATTTTAAACTCCCAGTACAAAAATTGCCATCATGGATACAGAAATATATATTATATATTTAATTAGAATAAGGACAGAAATCCATTTATTTTTATAGTTAAATAAGCATAAGCGACCCTGAATACAAACTTTAGCCTGAGATTCTCATGTCTCATCTTATCAAAGTAAGATTTAAAATAAAAATGAGTAATGATTATCCTTATGAAAAACTGCCTATTTTTAAAGTCAGAAATATTATATTTCCTCCTTAAATACTGAGTTCTAAACATTCTGAAATGTGTTGTCTTTTCATTTTTGCACACTTGTAGAGCTTAATATTGCAGTAATATTAAGTAACAGTAATATTACCACCAAATACCTGTGTCAAACAATTGCACACTGTCAAAAACTAATATACTCTACCTTTTCAACCCAAATTAAATTTCAATATTCAGGGATCTGTTTCCCAGAAAAACATTCAAAATTAACAGTTCTCTTGTATCATGAAACAGGCTGGTTTCTCTTATTAGACAAAACATATCTGAAGACAGCTATTGCCAAGATAACAACACAGCTGTAGAAGTCAACTTTAAGGAGACCTTACGTTAGCTAACTTACACCTTTCTAAATTCCCTCACTCAAATCTTACTTTAAATATATTCTAAATATTTTGACACATCAATGTTGCTTCTAGTAAATTCAAACTATATCTGGAACATATGCAGTTGTTCTGTAAATTCTATAGTAAATTTACTGTAACTTTACAGTAAGGAAACTACTGTTGCTAAATGGAATACATATTACATACATACATCACTGCATATTACTGCTGCCAAAGAGAGAAAGAACCAGTTAGGGAGTTATAAGTAAACATACATGCTACTCCTGTCCTATAATTTTATAAGATTTTTATATATCCTTTATATTGTATATCTAGAATAATAGTTGAATATTGCCATTCTAGATATACAGTCTAGAAACCAGAGATTTTTCTTTAGGGATTAGTGGACAGCTAGAAAGAGCCATGGAACTTTCTTTTTATATATGACAATTTCAACAAGATTACTTATATGGTCAAAACTGGAAAAGTTTGACACTGCCCACAATATGGGGATTGTTGGTGAAGATGACGGAATTTGCAGAGATGATTAAATTAACTTCCTTGATTAGAAAAAAGACAATATTTATATTTATGGCTACCCTTTTACAAGTTTTTGCATAAAGCCGAAAAATCCACTTATAATTTATGGTTTTGATTAGGAAAAAAAAGTGGATAGTAGGAAAAAGTGAGCTTTTAAAATCATAGTAAGTTAATTTTCTACTAATACTTGTATTTACTGTAGTAGAAATCAGAAGCTTTTTCTTTCTATTTTATTCTTTTTGTTCTGCACTTTTGTCTTTTTCTTTCTTTGCTTTCTATATTCTGTATGTTTTGTTTTGTTATCTTCTCTTTTAAACTTACAAGAAAATTTAAATCAAAAATAGAATAACAATTCATATTTTTGTTTCAAGATAGTTCAAATATAATCATCTTGTAGGCTTTTCTAAACATTCTACTTCTTGTGGGGCTTTTTTCTTCTTTGCTCCCCTTTTAAAATTTAAAGTATAATGTAGATCCTCCTTTCATTGAACTTGAATTTGAACTGGGTCTTCCTGTGCCTAGTCCAACACTTTAACCACTAGTCCATATTGGTTGGATTCCAAGTTTTGAAATGAAACTGTGTGAAGAAAATAGATAGGAATATTTTAAAGTGACTTAACTAGAAACATAAATGCCATGAAAATTCATTCATAACATGAATGGTTCTATCTAGTGGTCATACAGATTTCTGCCATCCAGATAAGGTGGATGGAGAAGGTTGTTGATTTTTTTTCTCCTCTTCCATTCACAAGTAACAATCTTGTTTTGGCATAGAGTTCTATGTGGGGGAAGAACAAAAATATTCATTGAGATCTGGGAAGACTGAACTTTTCTATACTTTTCTTTGTTATGTAGCAATTCTCTTGCTTTTTGTGGTCCAGATATTGTAGCTCATTAATTTTCAATGAAATAATTTGAATTATTCCATTGAATTGAATAATTAGTTTGAATGGAATAATCCTTCAAATACTCCATTTTTGTCAGTCCCCAGCTGATGATTTTGTAACAGTTTAGCTGGAGTTTTTTACTTATCACTGCCTGGCAGACTGACTTGATCATAAAACAAAGCTTTAAAATTTTTCTAGCATTTTCTTTTGAAGGAATTAGGTTGACACTTGAGAGAATAATGAGTGGAATAGATGGTATCAGTTGGCAGACATAATTATTAAAGCTTTAGACCATCATGCTGTGCATGTATCCTATTTATCTTCCTGATCCAAATGGAGGAGATGCACAGCTATGACTGGGAGGCTTTCCTGGGAGGAAATTCTACCATAAGTTGCTTTCTTCCCCTCCCACCAACCTATTTACAGGTTTGCTTAGACTTTAGAGCTACCCTATGAAGGGAATTATTGTCCTAGACTGTAAAAACAATCTAAGACACATCTAGAAATGGGATCTGCTCTAGAACATTCTTCCCTTAGAAAATTGTAATTCTTGCCTAGTACAGTAATTGGAAATAATAAAAACTGGAAAGGAATCTACTTACATTACAAAGTAGTGTTTAGTTTCTTTCTGAAAATTTGAATTGTTTTTGAAAAACACTTCCATGGTCTGTAATTCAAATCTAAACTTTTTAGGAAAGGGCAAATATCAACCTGTAATAGCTTTCTTTTTTCCCTTTGAAACAATTCCATGATCCTACATGGCTTTTCATTCTGCTGTGAGTGGGCAGCTCTTTCCTCAGTGTGTTTTTTTCTCACAGCTTCTAGTTGGAAAAAAAAAAGTGAAACAGCAGGGTAGGCGTGATTAATAGGGCACTGAACCAGACTGTAATCTGGGACCTCTCAATTATATTACATTCCTCAGGCACTTAAATGGACTGCTTTAAACTCTCCACTGTCTTATAACAATGTGGCTGATATGTATCGGAAGAGGTCATACTGGATGAGACATCCTTTGGCTCCTGGAATTGGGAAAGGACATTTGGAGGGCCAATATTCACAGCATCATCTGGATGCCTGGGATCAGAATTATACATGAAAAGTAAAATACTGCTAGAAAAAGCATCTTTATTGAACTTTTCTATATACTTTCTTTCAGGTATAATAAATTAGAGGCTTGTACGTAGCTTTCAAAGATTAATATTCCTCTTTGTAGTTTTGATTTAAATAGCAGCTGGAAAGGGGGAAAATTATGTAATTGGATATGACTGACATTGATCTAATGCTGCTGCTATTGTTCTAGCAATGAGTCCATAAAGAGTTAAGATGAGGTGAGCAACTTATATGCATCCTCCCAGTAGCCTTTTATGTGACTGTTGGTACCCACAACATCCCTGTCCTCTTCCCACATGCCTGTCCCTCCTGGTATTATGATGTTGCCAGCACTGAATTGAAAGGCACTGTTTCTGCAAGCCCAGCAACATAGCATCGTCTCAGTATAGCAGCTTTAGAGCACTGCTGGCAAACTGAGATTTTTCAGAAAATCAGGATAGTGAACGTTTAGCTTTATCAATGCCAAACTCTTTGGCTTTATCAATAAAGATGAAACCAGAAATCAGCAATTGCAATACTGCAGCATTGGTAAGTCCATTTACATCAGCAAATGTCTTCAAATGCTTCTTCAAAAAACATTTTGAAAACGTAATTCGATACTGTGATGATTTATCTGGGAGTAATCCCAATAAATTCAATACATTTATGTAGTCACGTATACAATTATGCTGTGAGCTATAAAGAACCACATTCTCAACTAGAACTGAATTGCAAATGATTATTCAGAATGAGTATGACTGGCATGCCAGTCAAACACTCCAAAATGAATGCAGGCAGCAGCTTGAAGGTTTTATGTTATTATTGTAAAAAAGATCAGAAGCAGAGATTGTTTATTATCTAGCTCTTCAGGCAAAAAAAACCTTTCTACTGGTATTTACTGCAACAGCTTACTTGCTAAATGAATCAGAAAACTGATAATGATCTATGAAAAAATTGACTTGGTGACCCTTTACCACCACCATTTTAAAAAGCAGGGCTTTTGTTTTGCTGCTTTTAATGGCTGTATTCTATTTGTTTATTCTTTGGGAAAAATTTGGTACCAAAATGTAAATTTCTCTCTCAAAAGAAGAAGGTAAATTACTCTAATTTCTATCTCTAAAGCTCCAAAAATTGCTCAATATGGCTAAAAAACTAATTTTGCCCTTCAAGGGTTGTCATTGTCTTTCTGGTGATATCATCTGAAAACCTCCCCAGAAGGGAATTATGGCCATCGACCCTGGGAAAATTGTCTACTTGTGTTTTATAAAGAAACATTTATGACAAATAGCTTTTTCAGTTTTACTTTGTTAGTAAAGGAGAAAAGAACCCTAACTATTTCTATATTTTAATTTATTGCAGAGAGAGAAATCAGAGGAGTTTCCAAACATGGCAACTTTCAACATTAGCCGCTGGAATGAAACCACATCCCTCTATCAGTATCTTGGCTTTCAAGTGCAGAAAATTTACCCTTTCCATGACAACTGGAACACTGCCTGTTTTATCATCCTGGTCATATTTATATTTACTGTAATATGTTTGGTGGTACTAGCCTTTTTATATGAGCTGCTTGACTGTTGCTGCTGTGTTAAAAACAAAACCATGAAAGACTTGGACAATGAACCCAATCCTGTTAGATCTATGATGAACAGCTTCAGAAAGCATGAAACGGAAGTGGTGTAGTTGTGGAGTGATCTTCAGCACCAGAAACAAACATATGTTCAACATTATATTGAAGCCTCTTGTATTTTAGGACCAAGCAATTCAGATCCTGTTTAGCCTTAAATATCGCTATTAGCAGTCCCTTTTTTGCCAATGGGTAGAAACCTGAAAAGGTTACAAAATACTTGCTAATGGTTAATGTCACTATGTGGTGTGAAAACAGAGGGTTGGTTTTGTTTTATAATGAACTGCTGTTGACTAGTACTGATTAAATAAATTTTTGTTCATCTAATGAATTGCTTTTTGCTTTATTTAAAATGCAGTCAGAATAAATGAAAGCATATTAAGATACCACAGAATATAAAAGCATCATTTGCCATGCAATCAATTTGATTATATCTTTAATGTATCAAAATAGTAGTTTGATACTCCATTACCTCAAACAAGAGACTATGCCAACACAGGGTTCAAAATAATCTTTTACAAACCTGTTAAATATTAGATAAGTAAAAGATATGGATTACTATTAGTTGTACATCAAAACACTTTTTCCCTGTGCTTAGACACTTCCTAGTTTCTTAGCAATTATATTCCCCATAGTTAATTATACAGTGATCATGTCAGCCCGACACAAGTACTGATAAAGTCAGCTAAGAAGCAGAGCCAAAGAAAATGTTAATGCTTCCTTATCCAGTCCAACTTTTAATTTTTAATATTTAATCCAATATATTAAAAACCTATAGCAAATATGACAGTAACCTTGTTCCCTTATTTTGATTTAAAGTGAATATTAAAAACATGGGACTGCCATCAAAACAGCAGCTATACACCGAATCCTCCATGCCAAAATCTATGCTATATAGGCTATCAAAATTTGGGATTATAAAATGGGGCAGCAGTCCTTTCTCAATCTTAGTCAGCAGAAATAATTCTTATCAAATCAATTTAGGATTATAATTCCTTGGCCACATTATTCTATATTACGTCTACCACTTATGCTGCTTATTTCATCAGCCTTGAATAAGATCGTCAGTATGAAATGGAAAGAGAAAGCAAGCAAGCATATTTATGCAACAAGAAGTCACAGAATGGTAAAACTTGTTTTTATTATATAACAGTTATTTGTTTGTGCTACTGCAAAAATCAGCAGGACTTTTGACTCACTGCTCCTAAATCAATTACAAAAGACTCCATCAGAAATCCCAAGATCCAGAACATTCCCAGAAAAGAAAAGACACATGCCTGAAGATATCTTAGAAATAGAAAGTTAGGTTAGTGTTAAAGGAACTTTTAAAAAACACTAAAAAATATAATCAAATGCAAATTGTTTGACCATTCCACTCATTGCACAGCTAGAAAGAAAGCCCACCAAGTAAATAAGTATGCACAACCTAAAAACATGGGTGGTCCTTGCTTAATATCCTTGTTTGTACAACATTAGACACATTGGTTCATAAATTACCTTGTTTTTTAAGCTTCACACTTCTCTCTTTTTGAGCATCTCACCAACTGCATTCAACCACAATTTTCTGCTAACTTTCAACACTTTAATCTCTTTCTTCATATATTTGTTATTTCTTTCTATCAAACCACTTCAATATGTTTCTTTCATACTGGTTATTCAGTGCTGTATTCAACCCACATTAATCAGCACCCATTTGTTCTTAATGCTACCTCTCCATGTTTCTTCATGTTTGAACAAATACACTTAAATAATTCCTGTCCACTAAATTTAATTTCCTTCGTTTTCTTTCATTCAACTTTTCTTTCATGCAAAATGTTCCATAATTCAAATCTATTCATGTTATTGCATGCATTTTCAAAATATGCAAATAAACTTTCTTCCTACTGAAGAGCACAGGTTTGTTGTGGAAACCCTTGTTCAATATAAAATTCAGCTGCACTTCCGAAATTTTGTTGTCACCTGTTGTACCTTTTCAAGCAGAATTCTATAATTTTAGCATTTATTATTGGTACTTTTCCTTTTGCCTAGAACAGGGATGTCAAATTCATGGCGTCACGTTGTTGTCACGTGACATAGTGACTTTTTCCCCCTTCGCTAAACAGGGAGTGGGGATGGCCAGCGTGTGATGAGTCCAGCCCATAGGCCGTGAGTTTGACACCTCTGGTCTAGAGGAACAATTAGCAGCATTCCCCAACTATCAGACACAGATGCAGTCTTCACCTATGTATTAAACAAATCCTGCAGTCACACCATGAGCAAGTCACATATTTTAACATTTCTTGGGTTAGAGCTACCAGACATGTAGCCTTACCATTTTCAACTTTCTTATGCATTTATGACTTCATTTTCATTATTTTTGTCTTGGTTAGTTATATGTACTGTATTCAGCTCAATTCCACACTTCAAAATATCAGTTATTACAATGCAAATCACTTACGTATTGGTTCATTTCAGTTTCTTCACAAATCATTTCATTGCTTAATTTTTAAAATCTTATTCAACTGGAAACTCCATGTTTAGCCCTCTTCACCCATTTCCAGAATGTATTATTTCTGTTATTGCTCTTATGTGCATTTTTTTTATCCATAGCTTTTTTCATCATTCCACCAAGAATCGTTTTCCTTACTTCCCATTACCATAAGTATATATTCTTTCCTGGCACTCAATACCACAATTCTGATTACTCTACACAACTTCCACATGAACCTTTTTTATTGTTCTCTTCCATTCCTTCTATTTTTTATATTTGCTCTCTTGTAGCTATTATACTTTCACTTTCCTTTTCTTCCAGAACACTTCTTTTCCAAGATCTACTCTGGGAAATGCTCTACTCAACATTCAGAACCTCTGTTCAATTTTACACCCTTCACTCAGTCTTTCAATTTTCATCATAAATATTCAAACCAATAATGCTTGTAGATTTATACTCTTTATTTTGTCATATGTGGCTAAATATTTACATAATTAAAACAAACATATTTTTAAAGCAGAAACTGACCCAGAGTGTTGGGGACAATATGCTGATGTTGTAAACCACTCAGTGGTGTAAAGCACTGTGGAGTGGAATATAAATCCAAGTGCTATTGCTATTCTTGGGTCTCTGAATAGTCTACTTTTTCTCTACTTGTTTTTCTCCCATCTGTCCAAGTCACCTTGCAGAGTAATTTTTTTCCTGGATTCATGTGTAATGATTTTTTCCATAGTCATTTCTGGTTCTTCCATTAGCATTACACACTGGAGCACAACATACAACTATCAACAATTCATGGATTCCAACTTTTATTTGTATCCATAATTTAGATGACATTCATCTTTTGACATACATTTTAGCTCTTTCATTCATAAAGTTATATCTTCATTTCACTGCAAATGTTCATCAGTTCCACTCCATAAAATCTGATTACCTTCAGATTATTACATCCTTCATTTTTCTCTTAGTTTCAATACAAATTTATTCTTATACAATTTATTCATTCTCATGCTCTTTATGTTCTTTACATTTACATACATTCCTAGTTGTAATCTTCCAAATGTCAGACTTGCCAACTGATGACATATTTATCTTCATCACCTATCGTGGCCAATTAAGACTTTTGCATAACGATTTTAGGTATGTTAAATGAGTAGAGTAAGAATAGACTTTGTTACCAGCCACAATCACAATCATGCTACACCTAGCATTCCCTGCAAACAGTAACAGCAATGGTTATCAGTTTTCACATGCATTTTGGTCAGCATACCACATCCAAAAATTCAGTTTTAGGCCAATATGTTCACCTTATTCTATGCCAACTATCTATGCAAGTCAGCATGCTATTACCTGCACCCGTCAACCAAGAGGTACATGCATCAATTGCTTATCTCAAATTTCCCTCTGCCCCTACTAACCTGTATTTGGTTTTGAACTTGATGAACCACTCTGTTCTACTTTGGCTTTCTTCTTTTTAGAAGATGAGGAATCAGAAGAAGGTGCTGGACGTTTCTCTACAGCAGGTGTACAGAGTGCTCGTTTTTTGAAAAGTTCTCGTTCTCGTAACAAGTTTGGATCCATAATTCTGTCACAGAAAAAAAAAGACACATAAATATTAACATACCAAAATCATTCTTAACTTAATATTGTATGTTTAAAGCTCAAAATAAAAATGTTTTATTTTTAGACCCTGATAAATCTATGCTTGCAAAAATGATAACTGAATATTCCACCTTAAGAGGTGTAGCATTCTCCAGCTGTAATTACACATATTTATCAAGAAACTCAACTTGGTACCCACCAACAATTCTGAATTGATTTCCATTACTTTACTTTATTGGCTTTTCTGGCAAGAGTTGATGTGCATCAAAATATGCAAAAGATTTTAAAACTTCTCTCATTATCTCCAAACAACAAGAGTAGGAAATTTTAAAAGCCAAAGTTAAACTTAAAAAAAAATACTTACTAAGAAGAAAACTAAATTATCAAGTTCTAAAATCCAACAAGAAACTGAATTGGGTAGCAGGAAAGGGATTTTTATTTATATTAATTATTACAGCAGTTATACCAAAGTATCCAGATGCCTCTTTTTAAAAAGATGCAAAATAGAATGAAACAGACAGACACAGACAGATACACACACACACACACTTATGTGATGCTTTACTTCATTATCTCCAAGCTCCAAATTATACTAATTGGGGACAATTACAGACCTATATATTCTTACTAGCCTATTTTCTTTGCACTTTCAGAAAGATAATATAAAACTATAGTAATTAAAGTAAATAGATAAATTTTTACCAATTATGCTTAGCATTAAGTGTTTTTCAGGGAAGCATCAAATTTTTGCTTACTATAATTTTGACTCTAAACAGCATATTATGTTCATTTTCATCACACATAATAAAAACCAATTACTTGAAAACAAGCAAAAACTTAATAACATTTAGAAAAAGATAACATGAACAGATTTGGAAATTTCTGGATTGGAGAGATTTTTTTCTTTAAAACAATTCTGTAAAGTAGGTCTGCAATAATCACTGTGAAGTTGAAAGCAGCATCACAGTAGGAGCCATTTGAGTTACTTCCTTAACCACTACAATGCATCTATTGTATTTTTAAGACATATATGATCATATTTCCATATTTTTAAGTAATTGTTGTATAGATTCAAAAGAAAATATTTACATGAATATACTGCATTAAAGCAGTATATTAAAGGGGGGAAAACAACAGTAGCCTGGCTGACATAAAATATTAAGGTGTAAATCATATTTTATATATAACTGAGATCATACATCATGCTAAATTTGCTTTATCATAATCTGTAAATTCAAGTTATATGTTTTTCATTCCAAATTTCATTGAGACATAGAACCTTCCAAAATCTGTTGTTGTTAATCCTTTTTAAATTGTCTTTGGATTGCTCTATCTGTATGCTAGAAGTTTATGAAAATAAAGCTGATTTATAGAATTTAAAAGCTACATAACACGCTGTTGAATGATTTTCATAGCTACAGTAGATTCATAATAGGTACACAAACTGGAGCCTTTAAGGTGATAATGAAGCGATTTCCAACAAGCCAGCAAGCAAAAACAATAGTGATTGAAGCTGGGAGATAAGTGCAATGGTATCCAGAGGGTCTATCTGTTACTATCTGTAACAAGGATAGCAATCTTTGAATATAAATACGCTTTCTCAAAATAAAGGATTGCCATGAAAGATAGTTACAGTGAAATACTGTTCACTAGCACAAAGGACGTTTTTCAGGAATCCATATTTCAAACAAGTGCAAATGTATTTTGGTAAAAGCAGTAGTGTAGGACAGGCAAGACTTGGTTTGAAAACTACATTTTAGTATAACAAGTTTTATTTGTATAGTGTTTATGCCATATTTGTCTCAGTGGCAATCAAGAAGAATCTATCTTACCAATACCGTACAGCTACTACAAAACATGGATGCAGTTTTAAACTGCATCAATAGAAAGGTCTGTTTACATTCTATGCTTGGTATTGAGAATGTTGTAGCGTAAGAAACTGATGAAGACAGTGCTTGTTTCAATTTATTATGCTTATGCTACTCAGACTGTAAGGAAACAGGAAATGTAGGTTAAGAAATTAATCTAAAAAGGGACAAAAGGTAGTCTAGAAAAAGGGGAACTGGGCAAAAGATGGGGGGACAGATTAAACATAGGGAAGTTCATGGAGAAGAGATGAAACAGGTGTTCCAAGAAGATTGTGACCCTGTAGTCTTTGTCAAAGGGGCCTGCAGAGGAGGGATTTGTGCTTGGGTGGAGGGAATAAAAAGCTGGAGAAATGTATTCCTGTGTGCACCTACTTGCTAGCCACCTGCTCTTGCAAGAAAGTAATGAACTGTTTGCTGCTTCACTTCATAACTCTGACAAATTTCTGGCTGGCGAGTCGGTTTCTCACAGTAAGTTAGGCAACTTATTTTAGGTACAGCCAAGATCTGGAGTATATCTGAAAGACTGCCCTGCATAAACGTCTGCTGCTCTGGGGGGATGGGCAAGAAACATTTAAAAGACGGACATTTGATTTCGGCTGAACGTCCTAGTCGTTCAGCTAGGGAACAAAATCTCCTTCGCAAAAAAGGATTTAAAGCAGGGGTTGAGCCACCGTCCGTCGGGGATTCCCTAAAGAGAGGCATCTTGCTGAGGGAGGTGCGGTGCACGGGAATCCTTTTAAGTCTTTAATCAAGACTTCCACCGAGATACTCCCGGTCAGAAAGGATCTTCGGCCGCTTCGTGCCCCCCCCCTCACGAAACTACACGCCGCGCAGTTCGAAGGCTCCCGCGAGCCTCCCGTGTTTAAAATGCGAAAGCGGCGTTTCCTCGTTGACCTGCCCAGAATTCTCCCGTCTTCCGCTTTCCCCGTGGACCGCCCCTGTTTCCGAGGGGCTGCTGAACTCCTCGGCCCCCCCTGAGGGAGTCGAGCTTCGCAACTCCGCACCCGAGGCGGCGGCACAACGTCGCCACTCGCCCCTCACCTCCCCGAACGGCTCTTAATCCCGCCAACCCCATCCCGAGACTTCGCGCCAAGCCACTCACCTCGCGCATGAGGCGACTCCAAACGGCAAGAAGGAAGACGGGCGAATCCACGGAGCCCACCGGCTCCCGCTTTCCGATTGGCTTAGTAGTTCCTATTTAAGGGCGCCCATCTTTCCTGTCGCTGGTCCATTGCATTTTGCGTCAGAGTTAAAGGAAAGGTCCGGAAGTAGGACAATTGCTATGGCAACAGGAAGTCGTTTGCGGAGTGAAATATTGCCCACCCACCCCCATCTCCATAGAAGAATTAGAGCTTGTTGAATTTATGGTTTTAGCCACGTTTCTCAACCTTAGTAATTTTAAGAGGTGTGGACTTCAATTCCCAGAATCCCCTGGCAGCAAAAGCTTGCATAGCCTGCCGAAAGGCGTACAGAAGTAAGAGTGCTCATCGAGTGCTCTAGATCAGGGGTCTCCAACCTTGGCAACTTTAAGCTGGAGAACTTCAACTCCCAGAATTCTGGCTGGGGAATTCTGGGAGTTGAAGTCCTCCAGGCTTAAAGTTGCCAAGGTTGGAGACCCCTGATCTAGATCTCAGAGGGAAGCAAATTCCATAGGAAGAATCCCCAGAGCGCAAACATTTTGGGCTAGAGCTACTAAAATGCTACTATACAAAATACAGTATTTGGCTCGGCTATTGCTACTTCTAGTCTGCTTCCTGCTGATCCCATTTGCTTCCATGAGTACTTTACACCAGGGGTCTCCAACCTTGGCAACTTTAAGACTTGTGGACTTCAACTCCCAGAATTCCTCAACCAGCTCCTGCTGGCTGAGGAATTTTGGGAGTTGAAGTCCACAAGTCTTAAAAGTTGCCAAGGTTGGAAACCCCTACTCTATACCATACTACTTTATACTAAATGCACAGAGACGCTTTTATCTAAACCTTCTCTAAAGCTATGTAAATTTTGGAAAAAGTGATTAGAACTGACTGAAGTTTCCAAGAATAGCCTTGCATGTTTAAAAAAAAACACACAAAAAAACAGCAAAATTAGCTGTGATGGCGCAATGGTTAGAATGCAATACTGTAGGCTACTTCTGCTGGCTGCCAGCAGTTTGGCAGTTCGAGTCCCACAGCTCAAAGTTGACTCAGCCTTCCATTCTTCCGAGATGGGTAAAATGAGGACCCAGATTGTTGGGGGCAATATGCTGACACTGTAAACCACCTAGAGAGGGCTGTAAAGCACTGTGAAGCAATATGTGAACCTTAAGTGCTATTGCTAAAATAAAACTTCTCTGAACCTAAATTACATCATTCGAAAGCTTCTTTGTAATCAAATACGTTAATCATGGACTGGTAAGGGCTTGAAGGCTACTTGGTAGCATCCGTTCATTTTAGAAAGTCCATCACAATATTCAGTGGGATAACTTTGTAGAGAAGTTTCCTTACGAGACACCCCACGTATATACCTTGACTGCACCCCACTTTACTATAACTCATTTTTTTCATAGCTATTATGGTTAGTCAGATGCTAAGAATTCCTAAATGTTCTAGGTTGTTTTAAGCCAACTTCTACAAAGTTGTTTACAGACAGAAAAATTAACTATAAATAACTGTGATAGTTTATTCATGAGCCATATACAGAACAGACAGGATAAATTTTAACAAGGGAGTGGAGAAGGATGAAAATGAATTGTCAAGCTTGAATTTTTTAAGGAGTCTATCATTTAAGGCTAGGAATTTAAAACACATATCTATTTACTTCACCCAAGCAGATGGCAACAAAAGATCTTGCCTCAAAAAAGCTAAGCAATTAAACTGGATGATTGCCCTTATCTCTCTTGGATGAGAGACCACCAGGAAATCCCAGGGTACTATAGTAGATGAGGATGTCAAAACAATAATCACAGAAGGCAACAATGGCAAATTACTTGTCTATTTTGTCAAAAAGACTGTCCATCCAGTCATCAAGAGCTAATCTTCTCTTTTGAACACAAACACTGAACTGAACCACAACTTTTAATGATAAATAAGTTTTATTTTTTGTAGGAAAGTGCCAAAAGTAAGTGCAAGAGAAGGAAAAAAAGTTAACAATTTTAAAAAATTAAGTAGCATTGCACATGGTATCCTGCTTTTTAATATTATTTTTCACCGGAATGTCTTCCTTAAAAATAGTGTATTACAAATAAAAAATATGGGCATGTCCATTTCATGAAAACACAGTTCTCTTAAATGTCAACATAGTATTTGAAGTGGAACCTTATGTATTTTTGAGAAGTCAGCTGCTTCTGAATACAGGTTCAGATATCCTCCTTAATAGGTGATTAAATCTGAGAAAGAACAATTCACATCAATACATAACACATACATTGTGAAGAATATTCTGTGCAATGTGCACTCTGATTTAAACTATTAATCTTTTTCTTCTTTCTTTGCCTGGGCTCACTTGCAGAGTTTGATAAGTCCCATTAATTTTTCTGGAAGAGATGTTAATGGAAAACTCACAATAAAGTAGAAGAATGTCATCTTCATGAAGTTGTTATTTGTAAATACATTGTTGTGCCATTTCCAGTTTCAACTGAAGAGTCCTTTACTCCCTCCTCTGGATTTTTTAGATACTTTAACAGGAGGAATTATTTCCTTTGATGTTTCAAACCACTCTGGTAATTTCCTCTTTGAAGGCTGACTTAACACCTAGCAAAAAAATCAATTTATTCTTTCATTAACTATGTAATTGTTACTCAGACAAGATACACATCAAAAGACAATCTTCCCAAGTAGTGGCATCTTTACAATACTTTATTCCACTTTTAACCTGTTGGATGGATTTATGAGTTTGATATGTATATATATATATAAAAAAGACAGTCTTTCTCGTATGTAAGTGCTTTCCAAGATAACCCACCCACCCCCAAACAGTTTAGAAAGCAAAAGGAAGCCAAAAGTATAGCTTCTTGGGATAAGAACTTACATGTTATTTGATATTAAATGATCACAGAAATTAGGAAAGGTACTAGAACTTAGTTGTAAAATCAAATAAAATACACTGCTCAAAAAAATAAAGGGAACACAAGCAGAAGACATCCGAGATCTGAATGAATGAAATAGCCTTATTAAATACTTTGTTCGTTACATACAGTAGTTTTGTGTTCCCTTTAGTTGTTCGAGCAGTGTATAAACTACTGTATGTAAAGAACAAAGTATTTAATAGGACTATTTCATTCATTCAGATCTCGGATGTCTTCTGCTTGTGTTCCCTTTATTTTTTTGAGCAGTATATATTCAACAGATCATTAACTTTGCCTAAGTCTGTTTTGGATGACAAGAATAACAATTACCTCTGACTGGGAATCAGTAAACAGATCTTCCTCAACATTAGCTGAATTCTGGTTCCATGAAGCCAATTTGATAGCACTCTGAGTGCTCTGGACATCCTCTTTAGGATTAAGGACTTGCTCTTCCTTATTACATTGTATCTTTGGAAAAAGAGGAACCAGTTATAATAGTTCTACTAATCTGCTGGATACAAAAGACTGACAAAATAGACTATAATTACAGTTAAAAGCTCAGTGTAATTCTCACAAACCAAGGCAGATACAAACACAGTATGTTTTTAAGGAGGTTGAAATGTTTACAAATATTGCAAATTTTAGTCTATTTTAAATTTTGTATTTATATGTTTTATTCTATGGCTGTTCACTGCCCTGAGTCCTTTGGGAGTACGGCGGTATACAAATTCAGTAAAATAAATAAAATAAAATAAATAAATAAATAAATAAATAAATAAAATTGGTTGACATGTAAAGGGGAAAGTTATACATTTTTCTAAGCAGTTTTTATTCTTTGCTTTGTTCTTTTCCTCTTTCTAATATTTATAAGCAACAAATAATATCTATCAATTATTCAGCTCAAACTAAAAATTCTTATTATATTACATAATAATTCAATGCATTTTGCAATAATCTATTAATGCCACTGCCAATGATTTAATTGTACACTCCAAGCAATTTTTTCAATGATTTAACACCATCCCCTCCATGACACTGGAAAACTATTTTAAAGATCCACTAGCCAAATCTTTTGTCCATACAAAATGGATATGTAATATAGGAAACACTTTTCATTTATTCCAACTTTCATAATATGACATATTGAGTATTTAAATAAAGATTTTTATGCAGGCTCTACAATATTTTTAGTATTGGTTTGTTTGATATAATCAATGGATGATGTACTAGATAATTACCCAGGATAAAGAATCTGTACATGAAGCATTCTGCTTTATATTTCTATAGGATTCAGAATTAGATTCCTGAATAAGTGGCTTCACTGAATCCTCCTGAAAAATTAAAGCAAATTACATTAACAGATCAAATTAAAGTTAATTGTTATTAACATTAATATAAATATCAGTGCATCAACTGGAAGAAAATATTTTAAAACTAAAATTGCAGTTACTTTTATTTCTATATTCCTATCTTGCACTTGTTTTAAATTGGATAATAACACATGCAGCTTTTCATATAATATGATTAAAAGTCATATAATCACAAAAACTATTTTACTAAGCAATAAATAAAGCAGAAGGAAGCTCAGTATTTTTTTTGCTGTAACTAAAGGCCAGAAATAAAGCAGTTCAACAATAGAATATTTATTTATAACAGCTTCATCTGAATTGTAATCTGTGCATTCAGATTGGGTTTGAACTGGCTCAGAATCTTGTTTCAAAATTGAGACAGGTGACATATATTGTAATGGATCATTGAACAAAACAACCCAGAGTTCTCACCCAAGACACAAATGATCAAACTTAAATTATCCTACTTCACACATATTAGATGATCTCTGGCATAGGTTCTATTGCTGGGAAAAGTTAAAGGAAACAAAGAGAATGACCAATAATAAAGTAGATGGACTAAGTTACAATGACAGTAGAAGCAATGTTGAAACACCTGAAAATCAGGTAAGGGACAGATCACCATGGAGAAATCTATCTGTGATTGTTAGGGGTAAAAAAAAAAAGAAGAAACCACTTGATGGCAGATTATCAAAACATATCCTTTTATCTAAAAAGCCGGTAGTCAAAGGCAACAAGGAATTCTGTGCAGGCAGTAAATGGTCTCATTTGGTTTCTGGGTTGACAATGGAGGAAAGGAACTTTCCTTTCTCTGCCAGCATACTTGTTTCTCATAGGCTTTATGTACATGTTTGAATATGCAGACTAAGTATAAAAATTGTTTCTTTCCCAATATTTCATTTTCCTTATGTAGCTAAAAACACAAGTCACTTTTGCAATACTATACCCAACTGTTAATTCAGCATTTTTCTGGCTATATTAGAAAGTAAAATTAGAGTTCCTTCTCCTACCAATAGGTGATACTGTTGTTCTGAAGTCATGTTTTACAATTGTTCCAAAGAATTCGAAATGTATTATCTATATATTATCATCTTCAACATAACCTCATTTTGATCCTTTATGGATAGCCTGATGATATTTTGGCTGTTCACTTTAACAACTATCAATATATTAAAAAATAAAAAGTTTAGGGTGCATTTTAGCTCCATCGATTCTATGAACCATGGGTGCCTTAACTTGCTCTATGGGATAAGTAGATAAGATATATGAAATATAAGAAGCTAGAGGTCAAACAAGGTTTGGCTAAACTGGTAAATATTTTGTAATCTTGGGAAGTGATGTTTGGAGTTCTTTCAGAACAGGCTATACACTTCTGTTCATATATGTGCTCATGCATATATGTGGGAGAGAATGCAGGTGGTCATGGTAGCAGCAACTTATCTCATCTTTCTTTTGCATCAGTTTAATGCATTAGGTCTATACTAATTACTCTACATGATATAGTAATTTTCCAGTACATGCATGGTGTTAAAGTAACATGTAGTGCCATATTAATTGTGCTTTAGTAATTACTTGTTCACTTCCAGAATCAGTATACAGTGCTCTTTTTGATTTTTAAAGCCCTTACTAGCTTTGAGCACCTTTCTCCCATAGGCTCCCCATCCTCAAAATATTATTTAATTTACAAGCAAGGTTTTAGGCAGAAGAATATGTTAGTAAGAGTATTGAGGTCATATTAACTAATAGAGAGATCTTCTCAGTGATGGTACTAAATTTGTAACCTAACAATCTCAAACCTGCTTTCTTGCCAGATCAAATTCACTAGATTTTCCCAAGTTTTGAAGAGGCGTTGGAGTTATCGTGAACGCCGTTTCTCCAGGGGCTGCGGAGTGGGTCAGGAGTGGGATGATCCAGATGGTCTGACCGGATACTGAGTCTGTTTGAATTGGCCATGCCGCTTCACGCGTCCCTCGTTTCCAGTTTATTTGACGAAGAAGGATCTGAAAGACAAGCTCAGGCAGACAGTTACACCAATGCCCCTTGCTCGCAGGCAGGGAGGGGCTGACCCACTCCGCAGCCCCTGGAGAAACAGCGTTCACGGTAAGTCCAATGCCTCTTCTCCCAGAAGGCTGTGGAGTGGGTCAGGAGTGGGATATGCCCAAGCTCGTCCGTCTTACGGGTGGGAAGCCTGCGAGGTCGAAGCCCCCGAGGCTAAATGTATCTGTTGCAGGACCCTCCTGCTGAAGGATGCCTCCGCGGAGGCGAAGACATCCAGGCAGTAGTGTTTAATGAACAGCAATGGAGTTGTCCAGGTAGCGGCCCTACAAATGTCTTCGAGGGAAGCTTGCGTGGCCCAAGCAGAGGTGGTAGCTGCACTGCGCGTGGAATGCGCAGTAATATTCCTGGGCGTGGGCAATACAGGCCCAGATCCAGTGGCCAATAGTGACCGAAGACACCTTAGAACCTAAGGAGATAGGCTGGAAAGATACGAATAGAGCCTCAGATCGTCTAGAAGGCGCCGTCCGCAAGATATAGATTTTAAGGGCTCTGCGGATGTCCAGGGTGTGCCACTTACGGTCCAATGGATGACAGGGCCTCGGGCAGAAGTTAGGTACGATAACCTCCTGCTCCCTGTGGAAACGGGAATTCACCTTAGGAATGAACGATGGGTCCAACCTAAGGATGACCCTGTCGGGGTGAATGACACAGAGATCGGGCCTGATAGAGAGGGCCGCGAGCTCGGAAATGCGCCTGGCCAAAGTAACGGCCACCAGAAATGCCACCTTGAAGGCGAGGAATCTGAGGCTTGCAGAGTGCAGGGGCTCGAAGGGAGATTCGGTAAGGGCCCGTAGTATGCGTGGCAGATCCCAGGTTGGGTAGCAGTGCACTACGGGTGGGCGAATGTTGCGCACGCCGTGAAGAAACCGGTGGATCGACGGGTGGTGGGAGAGTGGAGCTCCATCTCTGGGCGACAATATCGTGGAAAGGGCAGCCACATGTCGTTTGAGCGTGTTAAGCACCAAACCCTTGCGGAGCCCAGCATGCAGGAAGTCGACTTGTGGGACAGAAGCTGAAACAGGATTAATCTCGCACACTGAACACCAAGAGATAAATACCTGCCAGGTGATGTTATAAAGCGTGATGGTGGAAGGCCGTCTGTCCGCCTGCATGACTTGGATGACCCCTTCGGCATAGTGTGCCTGTCTCAGGAGGAGCCCCTCAAGGACCAGGCGGTTAGATGTAGCCAGTGCGGGTCCAGATGATGGATGGCCCCCTGACGGAGGGATGCCTTCTCCAGCGGAATCCTCCAGAGGCGAGTCGTTGAGAGTACGATCAGGTCAGAGAACCAAGGCCTCCGAGGCCAGTGGGGGGCGATGAGGATGACTTCCGCCCCCTCCGCCACGATTTTGCAAAGTACCCTGGGAATCAGCGCTGGGGGGGGAAGTATACAACAGACCTTGTGGCCCGGGACAACGGAGGGTGTCCGTGGCTTCCGCTCCTGGCGCCGGATAACGACTGAAGAACCTGAAGAGTTGCACATTCGCCGGGGTCGCAAATAGATCCACTTGCGGCTGGCCGAAGCGGTGACAGATGTCCCTGAAGATGTCGGGGTGGAGTTGCCATTCTGATGGGTCCACCGTGGTGCGACTGAGGAAGTCGCTCATGAGTGTCTGCTCCTGCAATATGGTCGCTCGAAGCGAGGCGAAGTGGGCCTCCACCCACCGTCCTAGTTGAAGGGCCTCCCGCATCAGAGTCTTGGACCGTGTCCCCCCCGGCGGTTTACATGTGATTTTGCTGCGATGTTATCGGTTAGAATTAACACGTGGCGGCCCTGCACCTCCCGATGGAATGAACGGAGGGCCAGGCGTATTGTTCGAAGTTCCAGGAGATTGATGCTGGAACAGGCCTCGTTGGGGGACCAGCGGCCCTGTGCTACGAGGGCATTCAGGTGCGCTCCCCAGCCGTAGAGTCTGGCGTCCGTGGTGATCACGACCTGTTGGGTGTCCACAAAGAAGCATCCCTTGTCCAGGGCCGGAGATGTCCACCAGCGCAGGGACCGGCATACTGACGGGGACAGCCTGACCTTCTGAGGGGAGGAGGACGTTCTGGTCTGTTGGTGCGGGAGGAGGAACCACTGAAGGCTGTGCGCATGAAGTCGAGCCCATGGAACGATGCTTATACAAGACGCGAGCTTTCCCAGAAGCTTTAATAATGTGAGTACGGTGGTCTTTGGCTCCCGCAGAATGTGAAGTTTCATCAATCTGAGGTCGTTCCGTCTCTCTTGAGACAGGAACACTTGCCTAGTCTGGAGTTGATGATTGCCCCAAGATGCGTTAATCGCGTCTGGGGCTGGAGCTGACTCTTGGGCAGGTTTATGAGAAATCCATGGTCCTGTAAGGCCCGGATGGTCAGTTGCAAGTCAGTCTGAGCCCGTGGCAGGGATGGGGCCTGAACTAGAATATTGTCCAGGTAGGCTTGAAGCCTTACCGGGACGGATCGTAGGTGAGCAATTAAGGCCGCGAGGACCTTGGTAAAGCCAAGGTCCTCGATATTGTAGGTGATGCCCCGCGTAGCTGAACCTGAGGAAGTGTCGATGTGACGGCGATATGGGTATGTGGAGATATGCCTTGGAGAGGTCGATGGAAGCTAGATAGTCTCCGGGCCGAATTCCCTCCAGAATGGTTTTGAGAGTGCTCATTTTGAACCGCCTGTAGACGAGGTGGGAATTGAGGGCCTTCAGGTCCAGGATTGCTCTCCAGCCCCCAGAGCACTTTGGCACCACGAATAGGATCGAGTAGAACCCCTGTCTCCATTGGGCGGGAGGAACTTCCTCCACCGCCCAGATATCTAGTAGATGATGAAAGCCAACTCCATGAGTTTGCGCTTGGCCGGAGAATTGATCCGAGGTAATGTGAATCCACCTGTCTAGGAAGAGGTTCAGCCTGCCCCCGATGGGGGCATTGAGGCGAGAGTCATTTTTG